CCCGTTCTGCCACATAGCTGTCAGGGGTATATTTGTCGTGTGGAGAATTAGTCCATTCATCACGCTTGAGCATCTGAGTTCTTAAAATTCATTCTAGTGAATTTATAATACATAGAATTAATGGAGTCTTTGGTGTTTTACCCAAGTAAAAGGCTTACAATGGAAAAAAAAAGCAAGGTTAATGTCAATGGCCGATAATGTTAAGTATCTGCTGTTGTCTGTGGGCTAGATGGTATCACGTATTGAATTTTGGTAATATTGCTAAGAGTCATGTACATTGGGTTTGGAGAGTTGTTCTGGACTTTCCAATTAGGCAGTGGTAATCTTGGATGAAGGTACTCTTATTAATGTTGTGAACCATTTATATTCAGGAATAGAGAATGTTACATTACTCATTTTGCATTTTCTTATCTATTTAAATAGAACCAATGAGTGAAAACCTCTTACCCTTAAAATATTTTACCACCACATTTCTGTTAGGTGGTATGTAGATATAGGAAACTGTGTACTTTTTTTCTGACTGGAGAAAATCTGAGAATTATCCTTAAAGCAAACATATCGATTAGAGTCCAGATTTTTGACTCGTGGATGCTGAATATATTGTAAAAACTTGTCAAGGGCATAGAAAGAGAAGATAGAAGATGATATTACAGGACAAAGACCTCTAAACTTTTAGTTGAAAAATGACAGGCTCATTGGTCTCCTAGTCACGCTTTATGTGGTGACAGGAAAGGCCAAATGGAAATGGAGTTTGTGTTACACAAAAGAAAGAAGTTGACTGCTTATGTAACCTACAAAATGTTATGTTTGACTTAGGCTAGAGGTACATGTAGCATAAGTCCTGTAGTTCTGCTTGTCTCAAGATCATTTGTTACTCTCAGCTCTTAAGAGCTACTGAAAATGACATTTCCCACCCCACCCCCCAATTGCTGAGATACAAGATAATTTTGTTTGGAGTATAAGCTTCAGCATTTATCATATTTGATTCTGGGTTTGGGAATCAACAATTACCAAGTGAGGAGAGGGGAGTCACTCTCTGGTCAGATCCTCAGAGAGGTCTACTTGTTGCTATCAGAGCCCACCCTGTGGTATGCTGGCTGGAAATGCAGCCTCCACTCAAGACTCCTGCTTCCTAACACACAGTAGCCTCAGTCAGCAGTCCTCAGCACCAGCTGGAAGTGGCTTCAGAAGCCAGAACTATAGGGTGCATAGGGTGGCAGGTAGAGTGTTGACTATGAGAGCAGACTGCACTACAGGGCACTTCTGTAGCAATTCACAGCAAGTTTGCAGGTTCCAGTGTCTGGGTGCGGAAGGGGCTGTCATGCTCTGAAGGGACCTCCATGGAGGTCTGCCTTGTTGCTATCTGAGCCCTCCTTGTAGTATGTTGGCTGTGGGTATAGCCTCTACTAAAGATACCTGCTACTTAGAATACAGCAGCTTCAGTCAGCACTCCTCAGCACTGATGCAAAGGGGAAGAAGACAGACCTGAACTGACTCCCCGGGTGGTCTGTCTTGGTTTCAGAGGCCTGAGTATTGGTGTGCTCAGGGAAGCTGGTAGAGTATTTCCTATGGAAGCATGTTCCACTGCATGAGCCTTCTCTAGCTATTTATGGTAGGCTTGCAGCCAACAGTGTCTGGGTGGTGGAGATGCTGGCACATTCCAAATGGACTCCTGGGGAGGTCTGCCTTGTTGCTATCAGCGCCCCCCACTCCCACCACAGAGTATGTTGGCTGTGGGTGTAGCCACTGCTAAACATGCCTGCTTCTTAGCACACAGCAGCCTCAGTCAGCAGTACTCATCACTGACCACAAGGGAGAGAAGACAGACCTGAACTGTCCTAGTGGTTTCAGAGACCTGAGCAATGTGGTGTGCAGAAAGGCAGGTAGAGTGTTGAGTGTGAGAGCAAACTCCACTGCACAGGCCTTCTGTAGTAATTCACAGTATGCTTGCAACCGACAGTGTCTGGGTTGGGGAGGCGCTGGCACACTCCAAATGGACCCTTAGGGAGATCTGCTTTGTTGATTTTAGGGCAGAAGCTTGGGGTTCTGTCTCTTTGTACAGACAGAGGCTGAGGTGGTTAAGGAAGCAGGCTCTTTTCCTGGGGCCACTTCCCCAGTTCACAGAATTAGGGGAGGAAAGGGACAGCAGGCGAAGTGATTTTCCTACTGTATGCAACTTGTTGATTTGTTGATTTCTTGCCTGTCTGCGGTTCCCTGCTGCTTTCCTATGCTCCCCAATTCAGAATCTCTCAAAGCCAAGCACTGTTTCCTTTTTGTATATGTGGGGAATGGTCAGAACGATGGTTTGTTTATGCTGCCATCTTCCCAGAATCCACATGATGTTTTAAATGCTGTGCTTTCATGCCAGTGAATATCAGCAGATACACACACACACATACACACACACACCCCAGAAATCAACACGGACACACGCACATCCTCTTCAGTTTTTTTCTGTCTTTATGTCAGAAACACCCTGGAAATTGTCATTTGGAAATGCCTACAAGATGTATTCACTGAGACCTTTGCACCTCTTATTAGGCTGTTCTAAACTTGGAAACAACTTTCATTCTGTGTCTAAAGATGGATTGGGATGATGTTTTAGCACAAGAAAGAACAAGAACATGTTACCTCTTAAGCCTCCTTCTTGCCTATGATTTCACCCGTCCTGTCCAGTACTCCCTTAGTTCTCATTAGGAAGGTACTAACTCTTTTGAATAGCCGAAGGCAATCTCATACTTAAACTTCCCCGGCCGCCTGAAATCTAGCAAATTGCTGGCTTACCATCTACTCTTGCTTGCTGACAAATGGAGGAAAAATTCTGGCACATGTAAGAATTGGCCTATGGTAAGTGATCAGAGGCACATTAGACTTGGCTTTCAGTTCTATAGAAGCTGAAAATACTGGCTGAAATATAAAAGCTTGTTAAACTGCTGTTATCATTACTGTAGGTGTATTTGTCATTTAATGGTTCATTCTTGGCTTCATTTTGAAGGTCTCATGGTGTTGGTGCAGGCTGATTGGGATTAGTCAGCAAGACCCTGGAACTTATGACATTTCATGCACAGTCCTTTAATCTCTGCTCAGAATTGTGAGATTAAAGGAGGAAATTTCAGACTTTACCCAGAAAGGAAGAGCAAATCAGTGTGGGAAATACTTATCATTCCTTATCATTATAATAAGCATAAATAAATAAATTTTGTTGGAAAAAAACCTTGAGATTTATATCTGTCCCTTAGAGTTGACCCTTTCATTTTCTATGTGGTAAAATGAACCTCTTTTGGCAATTGGTCCTGGTATGAGGGAGAATCTAATGATATTTGGGGAAAATATCCATAAAATAATCCCATATCTTTTCAATTCGTTCCCTTCATTTTTCTCTTAATCAGCTCAAAACAATTTGTGTTGCTTGCAACTGTCAAACTGGAAATAAAGAAATAATAAATGATACCTGAATCAAATGCATAAAATCTAATGAAAACTTTCTACACATAAGTGGTCTGAAAATAAAATGAGGTCTTGTCTAGCTGAGATTGGCTTGAGACAAAAATATACAAAGAGAATCTGGCAGAGGACAGAATCTAGCACAGATGAGAACAAACTATTCTAGTGGCATTTAGCCACATGGCCCAAGAGTTCTCCCTGGTTTCATTATAAGTTGGCAGACAGAGTTTATATAAGAACCTTCTATATATGCTTTTCAAGTATATTTATTTATTCTTATTAATATAAATCAATGTACAAATTTCTCTTTTCCTATCAAGTAATACTTTCTGATGTTTTCAAAAAGTCCTAAATTACGTATATTCATATGTTAGATGTAGCATGAAAGCTGGACTGAATGATTTTTATCCTTTCTTGCTTTCTTCTCCTCTCCCTCCCCTCTTCACTGCCTCCCTTTCTTTCTTTTTCCTTTATTCTTTCCTGCCTCAGGTGCCTATTGCGCACCATTTTCTTGTCCAACATTGCTCTATGTGTTAAGGATATAGCAAATGGATATAGAGAGAAAAGTATGAACCACCGAAGTTCCCAGAGTTCAAAATAACAAACACTTACGAAACATCATTTAAAAGAATGTTCTATTAAAAATCCCCCCCGCCCCCCACGCTTTTGGATGATTTGTTTTGGTCTAAAGTTTAATGAGGAGACCTGGTGGTGCACTGGTCAAGTTAACAAAAAGGTTGGTGGTGTGAACCTACCCAGTGTCTCCATGGGAGAAAGACCAGGCAATCTGCTCCCCTAAAGAATACAGCTAAGAAAATCCTATTGGGGCAGTTCTACTCTGTCACTATGAGTCAAAAATCAACTCAACAGCACCTAAAAACAACAGTTTATGTCTACTTTTTGTATTTGTTGGTTTCAGTGACTTTTTTACTTTAGGAGACTGCAAACTACTCCAGCTCTTTGGTTTCATTGTTCATTTCTTTATATTCTGTTTGGTGAGTAAATAAAGGAAAGCCAAATAGAAGAGACATTTTTCTTCTTATTTCCAGCCATATGGGCCACTAATCTACATGATAACTACTGCTTCTTTCCCAAGGATATTGGTAAATTGGCTGAAATTTATGTTGTTACAATGGCCCAATGTAGTGAATTACTTAATATGGCCCTTTTAGCCATAGTCTTTGTGACTCCCACACAATGATTGGGTGGGACTATGCAAATAAGGTGCTTGTGGCCCACCAAGGGGATTGGACAGTTTGCTGCTAATGCAAATAAGGTGCATGGAACACTTGTCAGGGTGGGATCATACAAATAAGGTGTATGGAACACTAACAAGGGGATTGACAGTTTTGCCATCCCGCTAGGCTTAAAGGGAGACAGAGAGAGAAGAAGCAGCTGTAACACAGAAGACAGCAAGAGATGGTGGCCCAGCAGTAGCAAGAGTGATAGCAACATGAGATGGCTGTGGTGGGGCTTGCCAAATCGTGGAGCTAAGAGCTGTAAGGCTTGCCTGAGAAGTTCCCAAGCAGGGCTCAGTGGCAGAGTGTGAGAAGAGGTTATCTTGATCAAGAACTGTATCCTGACTTGTTCCTGTTACTTCTGAGTCATTCCTTAACCCGAGTTGTACTCTGCTACTTCCCTAATAAACCACTTGACTGTAAGTACAGCTCGTGAATTCTATGAGACATTGCAGTGAATTACTCAACCCATAGACAGGAGGGAGAGTACTGAGGGGAGGAGGAGCAGTTGATGTTAGAGATGATGGAGTAGGACAGCAGTTTGGAAAAACTGGACATTTGGGATCTCTTTAACCTCCGTCTCATAGGAACAAGCTTTACGCTGATCCTTATAAAAGAAATTACTCGTTTAAATGGGAAATTCTAGAAGACTTTGAAAAAGTAGAAGTCAGTCAAGCTTTGCAAGATGGAGGAAAGCAAAGATAGAAATGAGAATGTGGTATTAGGGAGACCAGTCAAAGGGATGAGACAAGGAAGAGGAGACACTGAGAACACTGGGAAGAGTAATGATGGAGTTCCAGAGCAGAGAGGGCAGTGAGGGGAAGGCAGAGTTGAGTAGATATACCAACTGTAGATTAAAGCCAATTGAAGCTGGGCAATTGTTTCACAGATGTGAAAATAAAGGTTTGGGCAGGTGAAGTGACTTTTCAGAATCACATGGGGAATTTTCCAGGGCAGTAAGAAGGAGGCTGGAGACCAGGAGAGCAGCTGGAAGCGAGAGACATAGAGAAAGCCAGAAAGAAGTCAGGGCTGGAGGGGAAATGAGAAGCTGAGTAGGAGGCCCAGGGCTGTGGGAAGCACAACTTTTCTCTGATAGCCTCTCTGAGGGAGAAACTGTCAGTTGGAAAAGAGAGGAAGTCAGGTTTGCTGAAATCGGAGATCAAACACCAGGTCTGAGTCAGAAATTCTGTCTCCCAGCGAAATGCTGCTTCTGGCACTTCTATTGCTGGTAGTTCTCCTTCCAGATGGCAATAATGAGGACGGTAAGAATAATTTTGGCAGCTCCCAGCAAGGGTGCGAGGGGGTCTGGGTAAAAGCATGCTGCACTGACCCTGGTGCATTTGGAAACTAAGGTTCTGGGCACACCTGTCTCCAGCCTCTTCGACCATTCTGGAGGTTGAGGCTGGAACCTGAGGCTCTGGTGCAAGCAAATGTCTCAAGCCTCTGTGTTCTTCAAATTCTGGGTTCATTCTCTTTGGCCCTTTTCCATTTCCATTCTCTCTCTTTCCCTCCTTCTTCTCCTTTTCTCCTCACTATTCTTATCCTTCTGCCACCCACAGGTTTCCAGGGGCCAACCTTCTACCTCATCCAGACCTCATCCTTTGCCAACAGCACTTGGGCACAAAATCAAGGCTCAGGCTGGTTGGATGATTTGCAGATTCATGGCTGGGATAGTGACTCAGGCACCGCTATTTTCCTGAAGCCCTGGTCCAAGGGTAACTTCAGTGATGAGGAGATGATAGAGCTGGAGGAGCTATTTAGAGTCTACCTCATTGGATTTATTCGGGAAGTGCAGGACCGAGCCAGTGATTTCCAGATGGAATGTGAGTCCAGTCCCCTGACCTAGGGTAATTCTCACTGACGTTTTCCTCTCTTGGTTTGAGCCACTACTCCCTCTGATCCTTCTCTCTTCCCTACCATATCCAACTGCGTGCACGCACTTCACTAGAGTAGTCTCTCGCTCTGAGTCCACACCTCCACAAAGTATTCTAGAATCTCATGGCTTCGTGTCCTCCTCTCTGATATATGGAGTCTCACCTTTTGTAACCTTTCCTTGGTTTGACTTCTGTGAAACCTGCTCCTGTCTCAGACACAAAGCAAGAAATGCTCACTTTTTCTACCCTACGCCTGAGTGCCCTAAAGTGTGACCTCCTCCTCCAATCCATCTCTTCAAGGGTCTCCTCTCCAGCCTACCTCTCAATATCATATTCCCATTCACCCTGGAATCCTGGAATCCTACTCTCCCTCTCTGACCTGTTACAAATGATACATCTTTATAATCTCTCCCCTGTTCATGAGACATGTACCTTTACCAATGCTCTACTTCCTGAAACCCTCTAAATGCTCTAATTGGTTTTGGGCTCATCATTTCATATCCCAGAGCTTTCTACTCACCCAAAATGTTTGGTCATTTCCCAATTTCTTACTTTCTTGTTTACTGTTTAATGAGTTTTTCTGTGTTTCCTCTCTACCCAGACCCCTTTGAAATCCAGGGCATAGCAGGCTGTGAGCTGCTTTCTGGGGAGAACACTGTAAGCTTCCTGAGGGGAGCTTTAGGAGGACTGGATTTCCTGAGCGTCAAGAATTATTCATGTGCACCTGCCCCAGAGGGCGGCAGCAGAGCAGAGCGGTTCTGTGCACTAGTCAGTCAGTACCAAGGGATCCTTGATACAATAGAGAAGCTTCTCTACAAATCCTGCCCTCGATTTCTGTTGAGTGTTCTCAATGCAGGGAAGGCAGATCTGCAGAGGCAAGGTTAGTTCCACTCTCTCTCCAAGACTTTTCTATGTCACTTCCAACAATGTTCGTAAACTTACGTATAGGAAAATACCCAGAGGGAAAGAGGCCTAATGAATAAAATACATAGTTTTAGTTCCCATAGGATTGAAAGGGATCACTGTCCAAACCTGTGTGGGGTCTGGGTCTCTATGCTCTGGACGGGAGTCCCAATCTGAACATTCTCCCTGCCCTAGAGAAGCCTGAGACCTGGCTGTCCGGTGGCCCCTCTCCTGGTTCAGACCGTCTGCTGCTGGTGTGCCACATCTCAGGATTCTACCCAAAGCCTGTGTGGGTGATGTGGATGCGGGGGGAGCAGGAGCAACTGGGCACTCAGCGTAGTGATGTCCTGCCTAATTCAGATGGGACCTGGTATCTCCGAGCAACCCTGGATGTGGTGGCTGGGAGGGCAGCTGGCCTATCTTGCCGAGTGAAGCACAGCAGTCTAGGTGGCCAGGACATCATCCTCTACTGGGGTAAGAAAGTGAGGAAGAACTGGTGTCCACCAAATATGGAAGGAGATGTTCCTTAAACATAGAGGGAGAAGCTGGGCAAAGGATGGGGCTTGATAGATCAGAGAGACAGGGACACACGGAGAGAGAAATCGACGGATTGATTGATTTCTCATACCCTAATCCCAACAGAAGGAGCCCTGGTGGCTCAGCGGTTAAGCTTGTAATGGAAATGTTGGTGGTTCAAATCCACGAACAGCTCCCTGGGAGAAAGATGTGGCAGTCTGCTCTTGTAAAGATTACAGCCTTGGAAACTCTATAGGGCAGTTCTGCTGTGTCCTACAGCGTAGCTATAGGATTACTATGAGTCAGAATCGACTCATTGGCAACGAGTTTGATTTTTTTTGGAATCCCAGCTGGGATAAAGCAAATGATCCAAACTACAGAATATTTAAGAATGAAGGACCCGTATATTTGGTGAGATGGGATAGAAGGAGAGAAAAGGGATGGATATATGATGTTGTGGACATGAGTGAGGGAGCTGGAATGTTACCATACACTGGAAGCAGGTCGATAGTGGTGCTGACACTCAGGTGGGCAAAGGAAGTCCTAGAAAATCAGAGAATGGAATTTGCAGTGACATCCTTGTGTCCTGTCCCAATTACCAGGACATCCCATCTCCATCGGCTTGATCTGTTTGGCAATAATAGTGCCCTCCTTGATCCTTTCGATAGGCCTTGCATTATGGTTTATGAGGCGCTGGTGAGTTTTTTTTTTTTTTATATTTAACTTTTCTGTCCACCTCTCTCACTCTTTTCCATTTTTTAATTTCTCTTTAGCCTTAGTCTTCCCATCAGACACTTTCTACTTTCTGCTAAACTCTCACTTCCTTAATGCAGAGCTATTTTTTTGTGTGTGTTTTTTCTTAACAGGTCATATCAGAATATCCAGTGAGCACTCATCACATCTCCTTTCCCATTAGGAATAAGAGCTCATGATGTCTGCCAGGGTCAAATTGTGATACTCATCGTATTTCATTAAATCAGAGTTCCATCCACTTGTACGATGAATCATAATCTGTACAACAGCAGAACAATTATTTTAAAACTGTGAACTTATTGTAAGATGGTATTGATATTAAGATCCATCCAGATTTCATAGATGTTAAAATGCGAGAAAAACTGTGTATCAGAATAAATGAAACGTGGAATATATATCTTAATGGCAACATCCCTTTAACTTTTCATTTTAAAGTGTTTTTTTTCCTACTGTTTACATGTCATTGGTCATAGTAGGATAAATATAATTGTGCAGGAATGTATTTGCGGAGATGCTGAGTTTTTCAAGTGTAATTTTTCTGTATCTGTCTGGATGACCTTCTAATTCTCAAGGCCCAGCAGAGATGCCACTTCCTCCAGGAAGCCTTCCCTCATGCCACAGTGGAAACAACCCTGTCTGGTCTGGAGAGAGCCACTTTACTCTGTATCCATGGCATTGCAGTTGTTTTTGTTTTTCTTCCCCTTCTACTTTGTAAGTTCCTTGAGGGTAGTGTTTGCCATATGTGGATCCCTGGCAAGCTCTCTTACCTGTGTATGTGTTTGCTTAGTAAAAATGATCTGAGTTAATACAACTGCCAAGTGAATGGTGTGTTTTTTTTTTTTTTTAAGTCTTCTTCTTCCTTTCCTTTTCCTCATCTGTAGATCTTCCCATTCTTACTAAAATATTTCTCACTTAGTCAAAAACCCCTATGCTCTCTTGATTTCCTTGTCTCTGCGCTGGAGCCCTCTGGAGAAAACCACCTTTGCCCTCACCACAACTATAGTCTAGCCACAAAGAATCACTAGATGGAGACTCCCATTCCTCATTTTCCAGTCAGAATGTGCGGGAGACAGTATGTGTGAGAAGTAATAGTGCAGGTGGTGTTAACTGTTCAAGAAATAGAATCAGAAGGTCGTTCTTGCCTCGGGGATCTTGAGATCTGTGCTGTTCAATTCAACTGTATTTTTGACTGGCAGCTTATTTTGATGCCTTTTGTTCATTTTTTTTCATAGTTTTCTAGAAAGCCTCATTAAAAAAAAATCAAATTCACTTAGATTAAGATGATGTGTTGAGGGGAATTTAAGTTTCCTTTTGTAGAGGGCTTAGGAAGGGGGGATAGGGCAAGCATCAGTTTTGGATAAGCCAGGGGAAGAAATTTTCCAACCTGGAGATTTTAATATGGTGTATCAGGGTTTGGGGAAAAAAGGTAAAATACTTGAGAAGGTAGGAAATGGTTGAAAGTACAGCTTTCTCCCCCCTTTGTTAGCATTACTGGCTGCTTCTCTAGGATGTGTTCGACCCACCTTATCCTATAGAGTAGCCACGCTATTCTTGTATGCCTGCTGAACCCTCAACTACAGACCTTTTCCCTGATTATTCTGTGACTTTTGGAGTGTGTACCACAAACCAGCAGCAGCAGCACCTGTGAGCTTGTTTAGGTCATCAAGAGATACAAATGTTTAGGCCCCACCCTAGGCCTACTCCCAGATATTCTGTGAGAGACAACCAGCAACCTGAGTCTTAAAAGCCCTTCAGGGGATTTTGATGCACATTTAAGTTTGAGACTCTGGTCTAATGGTTTCTTAATAGCACCGTTATTGACATTCAGGCCTGATAATTTTTTTAGTTGTCCCATGCACGGCAGGGTGTTTAGCAGCATCCCTACCCACTAGATGCAGTAGTACCTCCTCAGTTGTGAGAACCAGTTATATCTCCAGACATTGCCAAATGTCCCCTAGGGGCGAAATTGATAGGGTTAAGAACCATGGTCTACGATATTCATCACAAGCATACCCTGCCTGCTTCATAGAATTATATGTAACTAAGGATTAAACCACGGAGACCTGGTGGCGCAGTGGTTAAGAGCCCGGATGCTAACCAAAAGGTCAGCAGTTTGAATCCACCAGTCACTCTTTGGAAACCCTATGGGGCAGTTCTACTTTGTCCTATAAGGTCGCTATGAGTTGGAATTGACTCATCAGCAACCAGTTTGGTTTTTTTGGTTAAGGATTAAACCAGTGGCATTCCTGAGGTCAGAATAGTTGGTTCATTTTGAGCATCTGACCTAATTTGGCCCAGTTCAACTGAAGTTCACATTTTGTGGTTGAGGAACGAGGACCTCTCTTTTTCTGGAAGTTATGATGTGTGCAAAGCCTAAAACTCCTATAGCATTTTGTTTCATAGGAAATCTACAAATAAAAGAAAATAGATACAAGAGAATGATGGACTATAATCTGTTAACTCAGAAGTCCTCTTAACTTCAAGTGAAGGGATGAGAATCAAGATCAGGATCAGCAAAAAGCTGATTCCTAACTGGAGTCCTGGTGATGTGGTAGTTAAGAGCTTGGCTGCTAACCAAAAGGTCAGTAGTTCAAATCCACCATCCGCTACTTGGAAACCCTATTGGGCAATTATACTCTGTCTTATAGGGTCACTATGAGTCGGAATTGACTTGATGGCCACGGGTTTGTTTTTTGTTTTTTTTTATGAGGTGGAGGTCAGGCGTACCTCCACTCTCCAACTTTTTACCAATTCTAACACCAGCCATCCACTCCATGGTACTTACTACTTCTCTGCTGGATTTGATAATTCATTGCAGTAGCCACGCAGACCATACTCACAATTATGTGGTTTATTAGGGAAGAAATAGGCTACAACTCAGGATCAGGATCAACTTGAGGTAACAGGATATACTTCGGGAGACTGGATACAGTCCTTCAACCAGGACAGCTCCCAACAAAGAAATTTCTTAGCTTCTTCTCGACTTGCTGAAAGGTGGGCCCCTCTCTCAGTCCTACTTATACCAGACCCTAGTGGGCTTGGTTTCTGCCCTGTTTGGGCAAGTGTTACAGCTCTCTAGCTCTACTGACAAGTGCCCAGAGGCGCCCCTCTCTGCCAGCCAGCCACCGGCCCAAAGACGCTCAGTTCTCTCTTGTTCTGTGGGTCGGCAAGCCCACTGTAGCCACCTTGTGTTGGTCTCCTCGTTCCTCCTGCTTGTGCCACTGCTGCTGCCATCTCATACAGTCTTTTGCTATCTTGTACCGTCTTCATCCTTACAGCTCTTTCTTTCCTGTGTCTAAGAGGTCCCCAGGTCCAAATGAAACACTCCTCTCTAGGTTCTTCTTGATGGTGGTGAGGTCTCCTTAACCTCTGTGGAGTTGGCCATTTCACAAGCCTACTCCTCCCACCAATACCACAAACTGACCAATTCCCTTTGTAGGTCACAGTCACCTAATTTGCATAGCAATTGACCAATTCCTGCAAGAGTTTTACACACCTTATTTGCAATTTGTATAGTAAACTGTCCAGTCCCTACAAGGTACATAAAATAGACCAATTATAGGGTAGGCTGTGTCCCAACCAATTATTTTTGGCAGATTTATAAACCCAAGGCCAGAAAGGCTGTATATATGAGAAACTATTGCCCCGCAGGTGGGATAGCAGGATAAGAGACCAGATCAAACTATACCTGAAGCCTGACTTACTTCTGGACATTTTGGTTAGATGAACCCAATAAATTTCACTCCTTTTTAAGCTAATTGAGTTGGACTTTTTAGTTGCTTTAAAATTCTCATATTACTGTGATCTATGATGTCTTGCATTAGTTTTTCCATATCATTCTTACAGCTTTCTCCCACTCTTATCTTCCCCCCCACCCCGAAATCATCATCCCTCAAAGCTAGTTTCTTGAGCTTATGCTTTTTCGTCTAAGTGAACTTACCTTGTAAAACCTTAATTTACCCAAGATTTTAACTGTGATTTCTGGATGAGTGACTCAGAAATACACCTTCAGCCTCAAAATACAAGGTCTTTGAAACTATTTTTGTGTCAGATTATGTACGCACGTGTGTAAGTTTGTGTTTTTGCTGAAATATATAAATATATTTAAAAACATTTTGACTCTGCTTCTAGTATCCATGTTAAATTATCAAGCTTGATATTTTATCTGTAGATGATTGTGGATTTCTACGTACACTCATATCTCCAAATATGAAAATTCCATTTGTTTCTTCCCAGCCTTTTGCCATTTATTGCTTTTTCTTGCCCATTTGCACTGGCTATGACTTTTAGTATAATGATGATTCATAGCTAGTATTTTTATCTTGTTACATATATAAGATAAGAATTTTTCAGGAGTTAACATTAGTTATGATATTTACTGTAGGTGTTTGTGGATACCTTTATCAGCTTAAGGACGTTTTCTTTCATATCCTAAATTTTTTTTAATTATTATGGGTAGCTGTCGGATTTTATCATGTGCTTATTCTGCGTATCTTGAGATAATAAAATGTTTTATATCTTTTATTCCATTAATGTTGTGGATCACACTTATTCACTTTCAAGCATTAAAACAAAGTTGTGTTTCTCCAATTTATTTGTCTCGTTCCTAATGTATGTATGTTTTATTTAGTATTTTGGATTTACGTTTATCTAATTCTTGTAATATCCTTGTCAGGAATTAGTACTGATGTTTTGTTGGGCTCATAAAAGGGGTTGAGAAATGTTTCCTCTGTTTCTATTCTCAAGGAGTGTTTGTTATTTTTCTCCTTAAATATTTGGTAGAATTCACAAATGAAGCCTAAGGAAGTGCTGAAAATTTATTTTAGACAGTTTTACATTTCACAGCTAACTTTTAAAAAATAAATATAATTCTATTCATGTTGTCTATTTATTTTTGAGTCAACTTTGATAACTTTTATTTTTTAAGGATTTTGTCCAAGTTATAAATTGTCCGATTTGTTGTCAATAGCTTGTTCATAATATCTTTCTTGTTACATTAATGTCTATAGTGTTTGTAGTTATGCACCCTTATAACTGATCTTGGAAATGTGTTATCTCTCTCATTTGTTCTTTCTCTCCCTTTCATCTTGACAGAGGTTTATCAATTTTATAAGTTTTCCAGAGAACTAACTTTTGATTTTGTTGGTTCCATGATCATATCACTTTCTTTATTATTTCCTTCCTTCTACTTTCTTTGGGTTTAATTGTAGTTATATTTCTCATTTCTTGATGTGGATGCTTAAACAATTTACTTTAACCCATTTTTTTCCCCATATATGCATTTTATGCTTTTAAATCTAAAAATATCCTTTAAGGAAAGCTTTAGCTGTATATCCAAAAGTTTGATATGCTGTATTGCCTTTGTTGGTTCAATATATTTTCTAATGTGATTTTTACACATTTCCTCATTTAATCTTCACAATAACCTCATGAGAAAGATAATTGTTCTCATTTCATAAATGTGGAAGCAATGATTTGTAGAATTGTGAAATTTCTTCAAGATATATCCTCATACAGCAAGATAGCTTAAGAAACACTCTTGATTCAGTTAATGTCTTTTCAGTTATTTTTGGAGGAAAAAAAAGGAACTTAGAATATTTTTTATCACTATCCCTATCTAAAGCAGAGTTAGAGATGCCTTTAGAACCTGAAGGTGGGCCTCAACTTGGGGAGCCAGTTTACAAGTAAAAACTAAGGACATGAGTAAGCAGGGGCAGGAGTGCTCGCTGACATGGTTGGGAGAGGAGGTGATAGCAGATCTTAAAAATTCTAGCAAACTCAAAGCATAAAGTAAATATACATGCATCCACA